TAATTTGTTACTTGAACAAATTAGCTATCTTTACATGGAGCAGGGAACTGGTACTACATAGAAATTAAGGGTATAATCTTTTGCCACTTGCTGGCTGAGTGACTTTGGGCAAATCACTTAAACACTGAGGCAAACATTTTTATGCTCTATAAAATGAGAGTAATAAAACGCCTGCTTTATAGGAAAGCTTTGGGAATTTAGTTAGATTTTCCACATTAAGAATATTTAGCCAGCCCTAGCTGGTTTGGCTCAGTGGCTAGAGTGTCAGCCTGTGGACTGAAGGGTCCCAGGTTCGATTCCAGTCAAGGGCACATGCCCGGGTTGCAGGCTTGATCCCCAGTAGGGGGTATGCAGGAGGCAGCCGATCAATGATTCTCTCTCATCATTGATGTTTCTGTCTCTCTCTCCCTCTCCTTTCCTCTCTGAATCAATAAAAATATATTTTTTAAAAAGAATATTTAGCCATAAATTACCACAACTATCTAATGTGAGCTCAAAGAATGTTATCTGTGATAATAATAATAACAGTTATTAATAGCTATGAGAGCTATTGTTATCATCATCTACCCCTGTGTGTTTTGTCCTTGGAGTCAGAGATTTCTACCTTGTCAGGTAAGAACCTGAGGCAAAGAGCCAGATGTGACTTTCCTTTGCCACATGCCAAGAGTCGCTCCCAAGAGCCTCATGCTCTCGGCCCATCTGATTGCACTTGTATCTTGGATGCTCCTCTGTTGCTCTCTGCCCATATGCCTCAGGAGGACTGATAGAGTTGGCTAGAAATAGTAGCCTTTGCCTTCTGGCTTATTACACAGGATTTTCTGCAAAGAGGTGTGTCAAGCCCCTCATGTCTCATTATAAGCTTTTGTTGGCTCCCTTCACTATATGTGTGTTCTCTGTGGTTTTTACTTTAGCCTGTACTCCAGGGGGGAAAAAAAAGAAGTTCTATGGTGCCAAGAACAAAGATTCTGAGAGGTAGCTGGAGCACAGGGATGTCAAAGGTGTAAAACAATGTGGTAATTCTTCTCTAGGGCCTGTGTGTTATAGCATAATCCTCCTCTTGAAAAACAAGTGCAAGAGAATGTCTCCTGGAGGTTCCATGAGGCCTTAACAATCTTAAGGGAAAAGCTGATCCTAAGGCAAAGGTGCAGATTTCCACAGACAATCAAACACTGTGTTGACAATGGTCAGGCTGAGACATGGTAGAGGCCTTCTCTCATGGTAGAGCAACACTTATTCCCTTGCCACACCTTTCTGCCAAGAACTTGTCACCACATTTTCTATCCTCCAAGAGATTTATCTGACAGTTTGGACACATGTATTACTTGGAATGCATATTTTTTTCAGTATTGACCCACTTTTCTGTAACCCAATAATATTTATTGAATGAATACTTGTTATACGTTAGACTCTTCACTAAAAGCTTTGCATCTCTTATTGCATTTAATCCTAAAATACTATGTGATTATTAACATTATTCCCATTTACAGATGAGAAAACTGAGACTTAGCAAAGGTAAATGATTTATCAAGGAATATAGTAATTGAGAAGTGAAGATGAGACGTCTGTTAATAATAGTCTCCAACTCTAAGCTTTTAAAAAGCAGCGATTCATAATTTATTTTCTATAAGTATGTGACTAAATATGCAAACATGCATAAGACATGCACTGAGTGACTTCTTATTAAAAATAATTTCTTTTTCTTATAAATAACAAAATATTTATATATACAGGGTGGGCAAAAGTAGGGTAACAGTTGTGAATACACAAAACACAGAGTTTATTATTGTATTACTAGAGGCCTGGTGCACGAATTCATGCACGAGCGGGGTCCCTCAGCCTGGCTAGTGATCAGGACCAATCAGGGCCATCTCGCCCAGTCCTGATCAAGGCTGGCCGGCTGGAGGGAGGGACCATGGAAGGTTGGCTGTGGGAGCACACTGATCACCAGGGGGCAGCTCCTGCATTGAGCGTCTGGCCCTGGTGGTAAATGCATGTCATAGCTACCGGCTGGTTATCTGGTCATCCAGTCCCCTGTTTGTAACAGTTGCTTAGGCTTTTATATATATGAATTATTTATCAATTATTGTATGATTTTCCATATGAACTGTAACCCTACTTTTGCCCCACCTTGTATATAAATATTATGTTATATTATATTATATTATATTATATTATATTATATTATATTAATTATATTCATGAATTCGTACACGGTTGGGGTCCCTCGGCTTGGCCAGCAATTGGGGCTGATCAGGGCCATCTCACCCAGTCCGGGGGGTGTGGAGGGACCATGGGAGGTTGGCTGGCCAGCTGGGGGGAGGGACTGTGGGAGGTTGGCTGGCTAGTCGCAGGAGGTTGGCTGTGGGAGCGCATTGACCACCAGGAGCAGCTCCTGCGTTGAGCATCTTCCTCCTGGTGGTCAGTGCATGTCATCGTGACCAGTCATAATGGTCGCTTAGGCTTTTATATATTTAGATTATGTTATATTATATATCTCAAATAGAACACAGTTTCAAGTCAGAAGCCCAGGATCCCTGTTCTGGTTCTTCCATCAATGTAGAAAAGTTACTAAACTTCCCCTGCCCATCTTAATTTGAAAATACATGGTTGTATTAGGTCAGAAATTACCAAATGTTGGCCTGTGATGAACTTCATCAGTCTGAGGTGAAATGTGAAAAATAAGAACAATGGATATATTTATATAAATTTGCTTATTTTATAAATCTGTTAAAGTGGCTATTGTTTAATAAACAATGGTGATCTTTTTCCTTTGACATCCTTACCTGGCAAAATTCAAGTATGTCCTCCATAGCAGGACCTGACATTAAAAACACATATGTATTTTTACTGGTTCATAAACCCAAAGGTCAGGGAACACTAAACTACGTGATCACTAGTGTACTTTCTAGCTTTAAAATTCTATCCTGTTCTTAGATCACAAATGATATTTAACTGACTCTAAAGTAGAAAAGAAGAAAAAGTGTTATCCCCTTTTTCCTTGTTTATTTCAGCATTTCCCCAAATGTGTTCTTCTGAAAGACAGCCCCTAGCAAGATATTATAGCTATTCCACCAGAAAAGCATTCTTAGTCAAATGAGTTTGGGAAACAATAGGTTAAATAAGTTGGACAGGTTTCCTAATTAAAAAGTTTCAGATCCTGTAAAATTCTTATGTTTATTGTGACTCCCCAAAAGGAGACAAAGCATGAGTGCTCCCCAAGTTACTGATGAAGAGTAGATGCTCCCCAACCCCATTTTGAGGACAGTACACCTATTCCTGAAATGCAATTTGAGAAAGACAACTTCAGTTAAAGCTAAAAGAAAGTTTCTTCGTAGCTTTCATAATAAAGAAAAAATATAGTATTACAGGCAAGGAGGCTTCCACTTACTTTATAATATTACCAAAACTATGGATATTTTCAAAAATTACAAAAGAAGCCTGGATAAAAATACTTCAGATTAAAGTGCATTGGGACTAAAGAAGAGTTTTGTGGCTGTTTTGATCATTTTTTTTACCAAAACATATTTTAAAAATTATGTCAACAGATATATCCAGTGATTACAACATGGTAATTAAAGCACTTGGAATTTGCAGAAATCTGCAGTAACCAATTGTGACTATCATCCCTGCACAGTGAATAAAAGGTAAAATAAAACCAAGGTAAAAATTGAGCCTGAGAAAACCCCTGGATTCCTCTCAAATGGTGTGACCTTATTAAATATTTCAGCAGCAGGAACAATTAATTCTGAATGCTTATGCTTGTGGCTCATAATTGATTTATTGCAACACTTCTATGATCAAAAAACAAAATTCTTGATAGAAGATAAAAATCTAATAGTGTGTACTTGTTTTTCTTTTTCTTTGCATAATTATCCAGAGTTAAACTTGGCCTTTTTCTTTACCCTTTATGTGATCATGTTAAATATCAACTAGCCAAACCCTTCAGCCTTCACAATTCTAGATTCAACTTTCACTCAACACACTGAGGAGAGAACAACTGCCACCTGGGACAAACTATCCCCTAGGAAGGATCTTTCGGATGTTCTGACACTAACAATCTTGCTCTCTGACTCCCTGCCCAGCAGGGTTTTGACAAGCCTGTGGCCCTGCATTACCTCCACTATTTTCCATTGTGACTGTACGTAAGTTTCAGCCTGTTTTCCTAATCCTGCTGACTAAAGCAGTCTGTCACCATAAAAAGCCGCTCGGACCTGGAGTTGGCTTCGGAAAGTGCCTTTGCAAAGGAACAAAAAAAGTACATGTAACGTTTACGTTTAAAGGCAGGAGAGAGGAAAGCTCTTGTTTTCATGCTGATGGGCTCAAACGATTGTTTTTAGGGTTTAACTTTCAAAATATTAATTTGCTTCTGGTGACATTTGTAAACAAAATACCAATTCTAAAATGAGAGCACTTTAGCCAGGAAAGGGGGGAGTGTCCTGTCCAGCAGATCAAAACTCATCCAAACTCCACTGGAGAAGCGTGTCTATGAATTAACACATGGCTGACGGGCCACGCCTCGGGTCCTCAAACCTCCGAGTGAACAGGTGTGCGGGAGGTTTACACCAAAGATTCAGGTTTCCGAATTAGTTGCTTTAAAACCTTACGATAGTACTGGCTTAGTCTCTGGGAAGGGGGATAAAACACCAAAAACTCTTTTTAACAGACTACAATGCTCATCTATATAATTTGATTCCACATACAAATACTGTAGTTGGACACGATACCATGCAAGCTCCCGTGAACATCTGCTAAACCTAATAAGAAGTTGGATTTCATTTTTGTAATAAAGAGATCCAACTGAAAAGTAAATAACAGAGAGAGGGAAAAAAAGTAAAAGTTTTAAGTAACTCCTTCACACATCTGAACTTAGACTGTCCACCCTATAAAACGCTATGCCCCCCACCCCCATCTGGAAAAGCAGATCACACTTAACGTCAACATTTCAAAACTAGTATCGCTTAAAAATTATTGTTAAAACACAACACATCAGAGCTACTTGCCTTTTGGCAATTTCTGTGCATTTCCCAGGGCTAGTGCAAAACTTCCACAGAGAAGGAGACACCCCAGGCTGGACAGCATGTTGCATTTGCCACCTCACACGGGGAGTGATGCTGGTGGGTGTCCCGCAACCCTGGAGCTGCATTTAAGTGGACTGTCTCCCGGTGACAGGCGGGCGGCTGCACTGAGCCGAGCCGTGGGCTTACTCACAGGGGGTGGAGACAGCATGACATCACACCCTTTCTCACACCAAAAAAAAGAAAGGCACAACAGCAAAAACATATCATAACATTTCCTGCTAGGTTATAACTGTCTGTCTCTTGCTCCTGTGATATAAACATCAAACTTATGTTCAATCTGTGTTTGTGAAAGAAAAAGTATTTAGTCAATTTTGAAACATTGGTTGAGCTATTTTTAAAATCCAGAAAAGACATACTTAAAACCATTGGAACGTTAAAAATATAAAATAAAACCTTATTAGGAAGGAAACTGTTTTTAATTATCCAGTACACCAATCCAATTCTTCTTTTAAATGGGAGTAAACTCATAAAAATGCACTTTTAACCATTCTGAAGTTCCAGTATTATAAGAAACATTTAAAAGTGAATACTTGGCTACACAGCTATTCATTACACACACACACACACACACACACACACACACACACAGAGATATACATACTGATAGTCTCTAGATACAGATTCAGAGGTATAGTGAATTCACTGTCACTGATTGTCCACAGCTCTGGTCCATGTTGTGCAATAGTATCCTTGCCCACATTATTGTAATTTAATCCTCACAGTGGCTGTACAGGAAGTATGATGATATCACCACTTTATTAGTGAGAAAACCTGAAGCTTAGACAGTTAAATGTCCTGACAGTGTATTCTAATGGTTAATAATTTGGATGGGCTTTGCAATAGAACTGACCAGAGTTTAAATGTGTATGCCATCTGCCTTTGAACAAATTGCTCCATCTCTAGCTCATCAACTTTGCTTATATTTAAGTGCTCGCTTCATGCCAGGTGCTGATATGATCAGTTCACATATATTAAAACATTTATTCCTCAAAATAACCTACAAGCAGCCAGTGTCATCATCTCTACTTTACAGGTGACAAATCCTGGGCATAGAGAGGATAAGTGGCAGGCACAAGGTCACAACTAGTAAGCAACAGAGCTGGCATTTTAATCAGGCAATTTAACCCCAGAGCTTGCACTCGTAATTACTAAACTTTAAATTCTGAAGTAGAGATGATAGTACCGATTTCATACATTTGCTGGCAGGATTTTGGGATAGTGTTTACCATAGTACCTGACCCACAGAAAGCATTTAATAAATAACAGTCACTGAAAACAACAAAAATATTTTTCCCACGTAAGTAGAACTATATTCTAACTGGGTGCTTCTATCTCCAATGCTCATGTGTGTCCACTCTCCTCCTAGTTCACATTTCCCTGAATATAGGCCTTGCTGGAATGGCTGCATTAATAAAGTGCTTTAAATGTTGTCAGTACATTCATATTGACTCTGAAAATAGCCTATGTCATGGGATTGCTGTAGCTGAGGGAAGCGGACTAACTCTGGTCAAATAAGATTCCAGTCAATAAACTTCCCAGAGAGAAACTGAAGAGACAGCCCTGTCTGTCTTCCGAATAAAGTGTGAGGAGGCGCATTGTTAAAGTCATTAGAGCTGGCGCGGTCTCAGCTTTCACCCTAGGAATGCTCTGGCCCTGGTTACTGAGGGGATCTGGTTATTTACCAGGTCTTTTCATCTCTAATGTTTTACTCGACTAGGCAGCTCTCTCGAACCCGAGCTCGGACATTCATCCAGCTGGCACCGCTGATTCCGCCTCTATATGCCATTGCCAGGGAGGCCTCTGTGCCAGCAGAAACGACAGGTTCCTAAGGGGAAAAAATAACCGAGCAGAAATATTGAGAAGAAGGCTGTGTGCGGGGCTGGTCCGCGGGTTAGGTAATGGAATTACGGAATCAGTCTCCGCTTGGCCTGTAGGCTGCTTGAGCAATCATTATTTGCAGTTTGAAACTGTCTGGGAGCTAATTAAATAAATGCTGATCTCCGATTATTTTGTCCGGAAAAGGTGATTTATTGCCTTAACTAGTAGGACACTGAGCAGTCAGTGAAGACACTGAAAGACTTCCTCTCCAAAGACCAGGGAGGGGCACGCCATAAAGAAGCAGACCATGTTAGAGGAGACACTTCACTTCTCAATGAACGAAAAGTTTCCTATCATGTCAGAGTCCCAACCCAAGCGGGAGGTGGACAAATAGTCCCGAGGAACTGTAAGCGCCTTGCTACATGGAATAAAACTTCAGAGCTGTGGGCATGTGATCATTCGAGGATTTAAGGCCATTTTCAAGGAAGAATTACACTCTGACCATGAGTACCCTGGAGATGACGGCTCTGGACTAATCCGTGCATCCCTGTGAGGTCTCTCAGCTGTCATGAGAGAAGGCCAACACGAAGTCTGGTTGTGTCTGTATTTATCTGAAAATATAGAAATCTAAAGCTCCATTAGTTGTGAGATTGTAGAATATTGTATTCACCAATATCTGAAAAGCCTAGTTTTACACACTTGTTCAACTCCATAAATGCACAACACTGAGAGTGAACCGTATGTAAAATATAGACTCTGGATGATAACAATGTGTCAATTTAGGCTCATCAATTGTTCCAAATGTACCACTCTGATGGGGATGTTGGGATGGGGAGGGCGGAGGGTATATGCTGTATCTCTAAATGTGTGGGGTCAAGGAGTAGGTATATGGGAAATCTCTACCTTCTGCTGTGAACCTAAAACTGCCGTTAAAAGAAAATTATAAAAAAATCCTGTTGAGAACATTTAGGAAGGACTGCTGGAAAAACACATAAAATATATGTGTGTTGTCTTTATCCTGTGAAGGCAGGAACCATGTCTGTTTTTGCTTATCACTGTACCCAGTGCATATAATGAGAATGCAGTAAGTGTGATGAGTAAGTATCAAATGAAGCAAAATTCATCAATTCTTCCAGATAGTCTAAAGGTTAGCTCTGAATCAAACCAGAGAGAACTAGAGTATGACTGGATGGATAGTTGTTGGGAGAGAAGTCAAGGGTCCCTTCCACTTCTGCACATCTTATGAGAAGAGGCACTGATTCCCTGTGTTCCAGGCTTGTTTTTCAAGAATATTTGGCTCTGGCTGGTGTGGCTCAGTTGGTCATCCAGTGATACCAAAAGGTTGCTGGTTTGATTCCTGGTCAGGGCACATCCCAATGTTGCAGACTCGATCCCCAGTGCAGGGTGTGCAGGAGGCAGCCAATGGATGTTTCACTCTCACATCAGTGTTTCTCTCTCTCTCTCTCTCTCTCTCTCTCTCTCTCTCTCTCCCTTCTTCTCTCTGCAAAAATCAATAAAAAATATTTTAGTTCAGCCAGGTGTGGCTCAGTGGTTGAGCATAGACACAGGGACCAAGAGGTTACCTGTTCCATTCCTGGTCAGGGCATCTGCCTGGGTTGCAGGCTCATTCCCAGTAAGGGGCGCACGGGAGGCAGCTGATGATTCTCTCTCATCATTGATGTTTCTCTCTCTCCCTCTCCCTTCCTCTATGAAATCAATAAAAAAAATATATTTTTAAATATTTTTTAAAATTTAAACAAAAAGAATATCTGTATAGCAAACAGCTTTGGAAGATAGAAGTTTGTTTACTGCCCTATGTAATAAAGGCAATGTTTCCCTCTGGAGTAAAGGGAACACATGCTCACTTCCTATTGTCAACGATTCAGGTTTCCTAAGGACAGGGCTCTTGTTCTATAATATAACCCATGGCGTGTGTAGGTGTCACCTATACCTCCTTGTGCTTCCCTATGGGGCACTGGGGCACCTAGAACTGGCACAAATGCTGATATGCAGGCTACTGCTATTGCTCTGAATAAATAAACAGTCCTTTTTGTCTTTGACTCAGGAGTTTTGTGTCTCCTGCCAGCATCCATGTACTGTGCGTGTTAGCTTGCACGTACAGTAAAATATCAACCCTTCATAGTTCTTGACAATAAAATTGGCTCATTCCAAAATATTTTATTAGATAATCTTTGGTATAATGCCATCACCCACATTGAAATCCACTATAAGAATCAACCATGAAAGTCTATTGTGCAAAAGAAGAGTGCTGCTAGACATTGCTTATGAAACCGTATAGTATCCTCTTTCTAAAAACTGTGGAGAAGAAACTTTAACTCTTCTTTACGTGAAAAATGATTGTAATTTTTCTGAGCAACTGTATTTATGTCGTGACATCGTAACCAGGTTTCTCGTTCTGCATTGACTGCTAGAAAACCAGAGCCAAACGTGTTCCCGGCCCACACTAAGTGTATAGACATGATGCATGTCTTGGCATCATGCCTGGTTTTATTTTCCATCTCCACCCTCATTTCTTGCTTACTTGGAGTCTTAATTTATGTGATTTTATAAGTTGCTTTTATTTTTTTTCTGGAATAAGGTTAGGGATAAACAAACTCCACACACAGGAGTTGCATCAAAAATATGCATCAAACTAAAAAGCTCCTGCACAGCAAAATAAACCATCAACAAAACGAAAAGGGAACCCACTGTATGGGAGAACATATTTGCCAATGATACATCTGATAAGGGGTTAATTTCCAAAATATATAAATAATTTATACAACTCAACACCAGGAAGATAATCCAATTAAAAAACAGGCAAAGGATCTGAATAGACACTTCACCAAAGAGGACATACAGATGGCCAATAGACTTATGAAAAGATGTTCAATGTAACTAATCAAGAGAGATGAAAATTAAAACCACAATGAGCTACCACCTCATACTTGCCAGAACGGCTATCACCAATAAATCAACAAACAGCAGTACTGGCAAAGATGTGGAAAAAGGGGAACCCCTGTACACCGTTGGTGGAAATGCAGACTGGTGCAGCCACTGTGGAAAATAGTATGGAGGTTCCTTAAAAAATTAAAAATGGAACTGCCATTTGACCCAGCGATCCCTCTTCTGGGAATATGTCCTAAGAAACCAGAAACACCAATTTGAAAGAATATATGCACCCCTATGTTCATAGCT